TGGCAAAGACCTTTGTGTTCCAATGATCTAAGATTTGGGCAGTTCTGGAACACAAGATAATTAATAGTAGGCGGAAGTAGTCCAATATCAGGAAGAGACTTGTCATCTACATCTCCAATCCCTAAGTGACGTAGCGAAGTAAGCCTACTCAGATGCCACCCCATTCGAGAGGCTACAAGTTTCGGGCATTCCAAGACATCAAGATGTTGGAGATTTGATGGGAAACCTTCCTCTGAAAATGATTCCACTTGTGGGCAACATCTTATTATCAGATATATGAGAGAGGGAAAGAAAATGCGCATCTTCTCTGGCAGTGATTTCAAATTCTTCAATTCTTCGATGCAACACAATACTAGTTTGGGGGCCAAAAATCCTCCTTCAGGAAAACGTACAAATCTAGGACACTTTCGAATGTACAAGTTTGCTAGAGAAAAATGGATCCCCTCTGAAAAAGACATCATTTCAAGATTATTACAGTCAATCAACTTCAATGATTGAAGCATCGGGAAGAAATCCAGAGGAAAAGACTTGAGAGAGTCACAGCTCCCTCTTATCTCAATTTCAAGAATGAAATTATGAAAATAGCACAATGGGAATTCTAAGTAGGGAGAATCAGAACACTTCAACTCTTCGAGGTTACAATTGGCAATGACATTCTCAATTTTGTCAACTGATAATAAATTTTTGAAGCCTCCAGAAATGTCAAGAACTTTTAGAGATGATGGAAGACTCTCCAACTGCTCATTTCCGCAATTTCTTAGAACCAATTTATCTAGAGATGGATCCCGGGGAATGGAAGACAAAAGGTTCTCACAATTGGAAATTACTAGCATCCTTAGAGAAGGAAGTTGTTGAGGAAGTTGCCCTTTCAATTTGGGACAATTTTCTATACTCAACTCTTGAAGGTGAGGGAAAGTTAGTAACACAAGTTCACACTTCCATTCCTCCCAGCTCTTCAGATCTCCAAACCTCAAGATTTCTAGGGATGAAGCATTAGAGCTACTTCCACAAAATTCTGGACCAATAGCTACTATATTATGAAACCCTATAATTGACAGCGACTTGAGAGATGGAAAGAGGCCAATTGATGGCAAGGATATACAGTATTTGCAATGCCTTAGCTCTAGGGACACTAAATCGGAAAACGAATGATCTGCAAGCCAACTTGGAAACTCAATAGCACCATAGTTGACGATTGATAGCTTTTTTAAATTTTTATGCGGTTGAAAGTTCTCCAACACATCCTTGTCATGTGGTGATTTTTTGTTGTCTATGCACCATTCTAATGTTAACTCCTTTAGGTGTATCTTGCTTCTCAAATTGACCGCTAAAGTAGTCGAGGAAGAAACCACATTCTGCAATCCCGAGATGGAAAATGCTCCATGAAGATCAAATCCTTCTAAATATTTGATGTTGGTCTCTCCAGATTTGTCTATAATAAATGATGACAGCACTTGAAGATTTTTCAATTTATCCAATTGCTTTGGCATCTCTCTTACTTGAGTTTCACGAAAATCAAGGTGACGTAGATTCAGGAGTTTATAAATATCCATTGGCAACTTTTCCAAAAGACAACAACGCCATAACTTTAGCGTTTGCAAATGATGAAGTTGGCATATTGAGTCAGGTAGTTTCCTTATTTTAGTTCCTGATAAGTTTAAATAGCGGAGATGTTTGAGGTTTCCTATTGAATCAGGCAACTGCTTGATGAAATGATCAAATAAAGATAAAACTCGCATGCAAGTGAACTTGGATGGCAAAATGTAAGTAAACTTGCCAGATATAAAGCGAGAAATAGAGTTATAGCTTGTACTTCTATGACCTTGCATCGACAAAGGCAAGAAAGTGCGCAATTTATTAGCCTTGTATATAACCTCAAATCGTTTGGATGTATTAACATAATTTCTCAAAAATGAAATATGTCGGGTCATTTCTGTCAATTTATTTACATCATCTAACTCCAACCTATGGCAAAACTTTCCATATTCAACTTTTGCCATATCATTAGTAAGATCATGCATGATGAAACGAGTGTCATCTACTGGTGATCGTTGAAAAAGTGACCTCAACAATAGGTCATTAAAGAATTGTTCTCCTACTTCTCTCCCATCTTTGCTTTGATGAGCACATGTCAGAAGATTTTCTGCCATCCACAGCTGAATTAAATGCTCCTTATCAAAATCATAATCTTTGGGAAATATTGAACAATAAGCAAAGCATCTTTTGAGATGAGAGGGGAGGTAGCAATAACTCAATCTCAAAGCAGGGAGAATCTTGCTATCGTTTTTGTCCTCCCATATCTCACTTTCCAAAATATCATTCCATTGCTCACGAGATGATTCTGTGTATAAGAGACTCCCAATGGCTTTCAAAGCCAAAGGCAATCCTTTGCATTTTTTACTGATTTTTCTACCAATTTCTTCCTGATCAGAGTTTGCCCAAAGAACATTTCCATCATGGAATCCATATCTGCTAAATAATGACCAACTATCTCCTTCCGATAACGATTTCAATTGAAGTATATTAGCAGAACGCATGGTTGAAGTAACTTTTCTGCTGCGAGTGGTTAGAAGAATTTTGCTTCCTAGAGCCCCATGATTAAATGGTGCTTGCAAGGCCTCCCATAGCATATAATTTTCATTCCACACGTCGTCTAAAACAAGAAGAAATCTCTTTTGAGTTAGTTGTTGTTTCAATCTAATTTGAAGCATATTTAAATCATTGGTATCATCCTTAGATCCAGTGATTGCTTGGTAAACTGTTTTTGTTACCCTCAACACATCGAACTCATCAGAGACACACACCCAAACTTTGAGGTTGAATCCATCCATCACCTTTCTATCATTATATACAAGCTGGGCAAGAGTAGTTTTACCCAGACCACCCATACCCACTATTGAAATCACAGATAGTTGGTTGTTATACTTTTCTGAGAGAAGCCATTCAATGATGGTTTCTTTGTCATCATCTCTACCATATGTTCCGGCTTCATCCACTAAAGACGTAGTTGGCAATCTATCTAGTATAGCAGCTCTCAATCCAGCACGACTATCACGTTCATTCAATCTTAATATGTCCCTTTGAGATGCAAGATATTCTAGATTTTCAAGGACACTTTTCGTCCTGGATTCAATTTCCTCCTCAAATGAACTAATGGGAGTACCAAAGAAGTTTCGTACCTTGCTAATAGCACTGGTTCGACTCTTTTGCTCAGCTTCCAGCTTGCGCTTGCACATTTCATAATCAATCTCATCCAAGACATCCTCAGCATCGAACACGGCATCTTTAACCAAATCAATCCAGTCCTTCACCTTCGGATTAGTGATCTGCTTTTGCTCTGCATCGTCAACCACAGCATCGATGGATAACAGTACAATCTTCAACTTATTGAGCAAGGTCTGGTTCAATTTTGGTTTGTTGAAGAAGTCCAGGATATCCCGAGAAGCCAGCCTATCAAAAGCCACCTGAAGAAAAGCAGAAAGAAAAGCACCGCCAACCAAAGCTCCCGCCATGGATGAAGCTGTTGTGCTTGTGCAAATGCAAAACGAAAATGAACGTGATGAAAATGCGAAAGTGGAAAAGGTTACTGCAATGCAAGGAGTGGGTGACTTTGTGGGTTTTGTGAGTGGCTAGAAAATGGCAGAATGCGTTCAGTTTTTATCCTCCCGTCAACCACGCTATAAGATATCGATCAAAATGAAGACTTTCGAGTTCCCAGTTCATTACATTATTATATTGTTTTTGACATTCCATTATCATCTTCATCCCGTCAACCACGCAAGAAAATATCCGTCACAGCACAGACTTGAAAGCGACCTTGCATTGTGCTTTACGATTCGATGGAGATTCCTCACCTCATACGCTGAAATTATATATCTTTATTATATACATTTATGTAAAAAAAAATTAATACAGTTTTTAATCTCGACATTTGACTTCATTAAAGATTAAAAAGAATATTAACCTTTTATTTTTTTTTAATATAATGAAATGAGTGTTTGATACTTCTTATATAAGTAAATATTAAATATCAGATATTGTTGATATGAAATAGTGCAATTGTAATTCATTTGTATAGTAAGGGATATTAGTAAAAAAAAATTTACTGATTTGAAAACGGATTAAATTATTTAAAAAAGAAAATATGTTTTTTTAATAAGAATTTAATTTATTTTATAAAAAAAATGAGATAAAGTTGAATTTCGGAGACTCTCTACATCCTTGTGGGATTTGAGATCCATCTTTACCAATTAGTTAGTTAAACATATTCATGACATCTCAATGTGCCTACAAATTTCAAATTCATTCAAGAGATGAGGACCAGCAAAATATGTTTATAAAGCACCAAATTCATGCCATCTATTAAGCTTCAAACAAATGCAAGCCATGTTTCTTCTTCTTAATGTCCACTTTAGAGAATATATAGCTCATGGCCTCGACATTCTCTAAAGTTGACATATATGTTGCCAAATGCCAATCAGTTTTTCTTATCACAGTTTATTAATTTCAGTTTTAATTCATTTTTCTTCTATCATATGTAAACATTTCATGAGTTAATATATTTTCATTTTGCCTTTTTTTTCCCAAAAAGAGAAGAAAAAAAAACTGCAGTCCAAATAGGAGGCTATACATTTGCCTTAGGGCAAACTTGGATCTTCATACACACACACATATGTATCAAAAGCTAATATGGATTCGAAGTGTGAACTTAAGCAACAGGCTTTTGCAAGTTCCAAATAAACCATATTCACAACACTATCTTTTTCAACAACCCAATGTGGCAGCAGCAATTTTCCATTCTTCTCTGTGCTAATAAGATGAATCATCAGTCATCATCAGTATCAAATAAAAACTTATAGTAAGCTACATTGTTCACAAGTTGCAAGTAATAATAACAAGTCTTATTCTAGTAACTGGGGTAGATCAACATTCACACTACACCGCTGAGACTTGTTTCTTAAACTCCATGAAATGTAGAAGATCTAACTTCTCCACTTCCATAACAGCACCAAAACTATTATAGGGAGTAGGTGACAGAGGTAGTTATGTATAGTAATAAGTAGCTGCAAGCATCAGCTGTATTTTTTTGTACAGATGTGGGTTAACAGTATTTATTAAATGTATCTATAAGGCAGTGATACAAATGAATACTACACCGATTCTCCTTTCCCTGGAACCTCACAACTATGAAACAAGACATGGTGTGCGTGTGACATATATATACAATAGAGAAGTTGTCTATACAAAAAAAAAAAGACAGTTTATATTCTCTTCTGCAAGGCAACAAATATTACCATGAAGATAGGAGAAATAAGAAAGAGAAGATAGGGCAGAACTTGATTAAGTGCCCTTTCTTGCACATTGAGGTCTTCTTGTAAAGGGTAGTTAGACTTGCTTTCTATGAAAGCGTCAAAATAATTCTGGTAGCCTGTGTTCCATGAAAATGGAGATCCTGTTGTCACCTTCATCATTTCCATAGCCTGCCAGGTTTTAAGATTTAAACCATCATGCATGGCAACAAGTATATAAAAGAAAAGTTTTCCTATTTTTGTGACGGGCTTAGGTAGAGGAGTCAGGGCATGCTAATATGTGCATTGTCAAATACTATTTAATTATAACCAGTTAATTATTATTAATTTTCAATATATGAAAGTATAACTATGCATTATGAGATTTGGAGGTAAAATAAACAGATCTAAGGGAGAATTACAATGAGATCCCAGAGAAGAAAAATAATTACAAAATAAATCCCAGAAGTTGTCATTTTTCCTTCTGAAATTTGTCATTACATGTTGCTTGGGCTGTTATTAGGATTTTTCAGTAATTATTTTTCTTCCTCGGGACTTGATTATACTTCTCCCTAGATCTAATTACTTTAAGAAGTCCCGATATATATTGTTACTGAAATAAAAAGAGAGAGGGAGAAGATTGAGTCCCATTTCTGTCAATATGATCTCACAAATATGGGGCTTTCCTGTCCTCCCAAAACCCCCCCCCCAAAAAAAAAAAAACAGCAGCAATATTTTCATGTGGAACAAAATAATTACCTGAAAGCTGAACACGAACTGTCTTGCTTTCTTGCTCACTTTAGGATTTGGGTGAGATTGGAGTTTCTCATACATAAGTCGAGCTTCATTGGACCTGTCAATTAATCAAGTTGTTACACGAGGCAAGAGAAAAAAGTAAAGAGCATCCACCTAGCCTTTCAAATCAAGAGGCTATTACGGCCCCAAAATAAGATTTGAATAACGCTGATCCTAGTTATGACAAAGAGCCAAAGGCAATAAAAAAGGCAACTCTTATTCAATAGATGGTATGTGATATAATGATCATAGCTAGGAGACTTTTGGTATACAGAATCAGCAACATCCTTAATATTCAATATCTCGAGCTTTTCTCTGGCCATATATTGTTCCTCTCATCAGGTAGAAAATCCTGGGAATTGGCATTATCTCCCTCACTGAGGCTTAAATTACATCGCTTGATGGGAAAGATTTTATTTCTGGAATGACACACATCAAGGCTTTTGAGAAACCTTACTTAACCCCAAGGTATCAATGCCTGGTTGGGTTTGAATTCTGGGTCAGATCTCTGTATTCCCAATGCAATTATTATGCTTTTTGGGCATAAGGAGGTCTCGTAGTTAAAATTTTCCTTTTGAATAAAAGACTCCTCCACCAAGAGACAGCCCCGGTTCTCTCTATAATGAAAATATCCAGAGATTTCTTCTAAACCAATGTGTTACAACTAAATTGAATTTCAAATATGATGTAAGAGGCTCTGTTTAGGCTCTTTTTTTCCGGGATTATGAGCATGCGTTGGAGGTATATATCCTTTGTGACATTGAAACATTCTGTATCTAAATAAAAGAATTAGGTGCTTGCATTTTGTCTTTCCATGCAAAAGAACATGAAACATATGGAGGCAAGTTATGTATTATTTGAAGAGAATTATTAAGATAAGTACTAGTCATTGAAATAAATTAACCTTTTTTAATTCTCGAATGAAGAAATAAAAGATGCTGGATTAAACACATATAACACAAAGATTTGAGTAACGCTGATCCGGTAAATTCAAGTTTTTTTTTTTTTTTTTGGATTCAAACTCAGTGGGAGGTTTATATATACCTGCTGAGGGAGTCTTGACAAATTGACCACTGCAAAGCAGCCAATCCATGCAGCTCACTCTGCAGAGGCATGATTAATATAAGAAGTTTTCTTTTTCAGTATATTTAGTGAACTCGAGAGGGAGATTAACAAACTTACTAAGCAAAAAGATAACTTGTACTTCTTTCAGCTTTAGCAAGTAGCAGTTACCTTAAAAGTTAATTTCTCCATAACCTTTTCATAGAACGGCAATGATTCTCTCAGCTTTCCAGCATTCATTAATGAGTCACCTTCCTTCAACGCCTGTAAGCATTATATTAGTTGGCATAATTATGCTCCAAAGTCACAAATAAATCCACAGAACAAAAATAGAGATTGAGTCAGTAGAAGTTTGTTGCAATGCAAAATTTGGATGTCATAAGATATCCTTTTGATTCTGATTTTCATGAATACAGAAGAACATCCCTTTTACGAATGTGTGAAATCATATTGACATGAATTTCTTCAAACTATTTAACAAATGAAGTCTACATCTTATTTTTTGTAAGTCAACCAAGAAAATTAAATCCATTTAGCCAGTGATAGTGAGGCAAGAGTTGAAATACTTCAGATGCCATTATATAAACTTACGTCCTCACACTCAGATTTTATTTTTGGATCAATATTTAACCCAATTTCCTTCTTGTAGGCCGCAAGTAATTGTCTTGTTCGTTCTTCTTTAGCAGATTTTTCATCTTCAGTCTCTAGCGCATCCCCAGGACGTATCACTCTTCCTCCGCCGTACTGAAAACACCCAAAAAAATAATTGAACAAACAAGATATTTGGGGGGAAAACGGAGGGCAAATTGAGAAATATAACAATTCCTGAACAAGCGAACTGAATGTGAGCAAATTAAGGAAATTGCAAAATAGCAGAGCTCAGTATCAAATATTATATACTGTTTTTGAAATATTGCTGGGTCTAGGAAAGACACCCCAAGTAGAAACTTGTGGCTTGTAAAGGTCTGATTCATCTTCCCCAGTTTGCTCAGGCTTGGGAGCTGTTGTTGCAGCATCAAACTTGCTCGTGTCCCCAACAATCAGCTCCACCTCAGGCATATCACTTCTTGAGAAAGAGTCAGAAATTGGAACCAATCCAGGTGGCAGTCCCCTCGTATTTTTCTTATCCGCAAATTCAAGTCCCATGAAATCCATTTTCGAAACTGACAGTTGTCCCTTCTTACCAACACTATTATCCACAATATTACTTCTTGAAGACCCTTCATTCCCTCCCTGCAATCCTAAGAACCAATTCAATTTTCAAATACACATTTCAGCGCAAACTACAAACAGTGGAACACATAGCTTTCCATTTTTAACCATATACTGAATTAAATACATCAATGCAAGAAATTTCTGCTTAGCACAAGATATGCCTGTAGAATTACCTTGACCCGTTTCATCAACCACGCCCCCTTTATTCTCCCTATACTTCTCGGCTTTCTCCATTGCGATCTTCAGAGACGGTGGCACTTCCTTCTGCCCAGAATCATCAACAACATTCTGACCCGAACTCAACCCGTCATTCCCGTTTGATTTTTCAACCGAACTCGCAGCAATGTTTTGCTCAACTTTCAAATCAGAGTTCGATTTCAGCGATTCTCTGTACGCCTTGGCTTTGCTGAAAGCGAGCTTCACAGGGTCAACCGGTTCGGGCTGAGATTCGGGCGTGGTTTCGGAAGATTCAACATTTTCAGGGTTAAGAGCACAGAAAACTTTTATGGGCTTATAGGGGGAGGAGAGGAGAAGAGAGGGTTTTGCAGGGGAGATGAGTTTCAATGAAGAGAACCATGAAGGCTGTAAAGAAGCCATCATTTTGAGGATGGTAAGAGAACTAACAGAGGTTTGAGAGGGTGTTTGAAAGCTGAGAAAAGGAAGAAGCCATCGGGAAGATGGAATAACTGTAAGAAAGAGCGATTGCTCACTGCCCTCTGGTTAGATAAGGCAGCAACGCACGGTTCTCCCTCCCGGCTCCCGCCATTTGGATTATTGGGCACATGCGGACCGTTTAAATATATTTTGTTTTTATTTTTACGTCATGTTTTTTTCAAACAACTTATTCTACCTACTTCCATTATTTAGGATGGAGAAATTACTGAAAAATTAGTAATTAAAAATATTTATAATTGAAATTTGTTAAAAAAAAATAGGTAAAAATAGATGCAACTCTTTTCAATTATATACAACATATTTTCAACTCTTTTGGTTTACAAATGATTAAAATTATATTGTATACAGGTGAAGAAAAATTGCATAAACAATTCGATATTTATTATCCACATTCGAATGTTGGTGATAGTATTATGAGCAATTAGTTGCAAGACTGTTTGATTTAAAAAAAATACTCATCAATTTACTTCTGTGTTTTTATAATTCTTTGTCCATTTTTTTAAGCATGGCTTTGATTTTGAACCTTCCAAGTAAGAAAAGTTGTTATTATTAGAATACTTTGGCATTCATTTAGTCTGACTTAATTTAATTCGAATTAATTAAATCTGAACGTATAGTCATGAAATTAGTTGACATATAAAAGAAATTTGTATGCTCTCAATATCTCACTCTCTCCTTTTTCCCCCCTCAAAATCTCATATAAAATAAATGGTTCCTATTGAGTATGTCAAGAAATTATTATTAAAATATTTCATAAAAATAAACAAATAAAATAAAACTAAACTGTTTACAATTATGGCTTAAAATTAAAAAAATTAATTTATAAAATACTTTAATAATATTTTTTTAAAAATATTAAATCTAAATGATTCATTTTCGAATCTAAATCTGAGATGGGATTCTGGAAAAAAAAAATGAGCGGGACTGCCTAAAGCGAAAAGATCTGGACCGTTGAAGCCAATATGATAGAAGTCATATTGGTCATTTGCATTTTTTTTTATTCATAATAAAAATGAAATGATTTTTTAAACTGGGCTTGGGCCCACTTATCTTAACCCAAAAATAAAATGGTAAAGTGATTTTTGGGTCAATCATTTATAAAAAGTGGGCTTATTGCACATACAGGCCTTTATGCGTTTACATAAAAATCAAATGGGCTTCCATGATGGATTCGAACTTCACATATGCCCGACCCAATAATGAAGGGTTTTCTGAATTTGATTGAGACAATAAATAAAGTTAGGGTTTTATCGAGACTTCATATAAAAGGCAGTCCTTATCTTCTTGTATCGCGAGGTCTTTCGTTTCACTCCCCGGTCTGCGAACTGAGGTTCCCTCTTGCTTGAGACCGCGAAGGTCAAAGGAATTTAGCAAAGGTAACATGTCTGCCACTCGCCTATTTCAGTATAGAAATATCCTTTCTTTTAGTTTTTAATTTTTCATGTGACTATCATTTCCTGCGTTTTCTTGTGGTCGTCGGTAAATTCATTTCATGTAGGGTGTAGGTTTTGCGATTCGGTTAGCATCTATTCAGATATCTCCCCCCCCCTCTCTTTTGGGAGTGAATATGGGTTTTAAGGGATTGATAAATCCTATTCATATGAGTTGATGATATTTTGGGGGTTTTTTCTGTATGATTTACTGCGCTCGGCTAAATGCCATTGGGTTCTGTTCGCTTTGTTCTTTGATGAAATCAATTTTCCATTATCTAGGATGTTGGAGTGATTTTTTTCTGAGCTCCAGTCTTGGGGATAGAATTGGGTGTAGTTGTTTTGGGGAGCATCAATTTTCCCCCCGAAGTGTCATATAAGTGCTTTCTAGCTCTAGGGATGTTAAACACTAGTGCATTCTGTGAGAGACTTTGGCGTGGCTAACCCGTTGCTTATGCTTGTAACCCGGATTTATGACTTATGCTTGATGAGTTTTGGAGTTAATTACTTAATTGATTACTATTATGGTTGTCATCAAGATTTTTTCAACCAGGTATGTCTGCATTGCCTCCAAGGATGAATAAAAATAACTTTCGTTCTTCTGAGTTGCTCCTTGCGGAAAATTATTGGAGACCTGAACTGAGGAGGCTTTATGAAAATTAATTTTTTTGTTTTAGTTTCTATAGTAGCCTGTAGTGTTTGAAATTAGAATTAATCATTTTGGGTTTTGGAGAAGATGGAAGAAGAATTTTCAGTCGTATTTTCATTTTGATACAAGTGATCCTATTTATTACCTGTGCTTCACGTTGGTCTTGTATTTTTCCAATTGATACATGGCTGTGTGCATTGTCTCTTAGTTTCCTATGATGAATCTTATGTTCTGGCATTTTATTTCTATGTAGATGAATAGGGAAAAGTTGATGAAGATGGCCGGTTCAGTTCGAACTGGTGGGAAGGGTACCATGAGAAGGTATATGCATGTACCGATCTGGTGATCTTCATTCAATTGGTGTTATGGTTAGCAGATACAGGATAGATTATTGCAGATGCTCTTTTTTATTTTAACTTATTGGTATTTGTCACCTGAACCTGTATTTCTCTAAAGCAAATATATATCCATTTCCAAAAAAAAAAGAAGGAAAGAAATTCATTTTTTGTGTGTTTCTCCCCTTCCATTTCTGCATTTTGTATCTTACCATAGAAGTTAGCATCTTTACAAGCAAATCAACATTATGCCTTTTTCTTTGTGCTTGTGCATGATGCATTCTGGAATATATCTTTAGCTATTACCCCAGATTATACGTTGAGTTCAATTTTGACGATGCCATGAATTCTAACAACTACAGAAAGAAGAAGGCCGTCCACAAGACAACAACTACAGATGACAAAAGGCTTCAGAGCACCTTGAAGAGAATAGGGGTTAATGCTATCCCTGCAATTGAAGAAGTTAACATCTTCAAGGATGACGTAGTTATCCAGTTTTTAAATCCTAAAGGTAATGTCTGTTTCGGCCGTTCTTTTTTTTTTTTTTAAATGCATCTTGACAAAATTTGAGTATTGACTGCATTGTTTTTATTTTTCACAGTTCAAGCATCAATTGCTGCCAATACCTGGGTTGTTAGCGGTGCTCCTCAAATAAAGAGTAAGTATCTTCATTAAAGTGATAATAAGATACGCTATTATCTAACTGAAAAGATGTGATTTGGAGTGTAAAGGAAATTTTTCGCACACTCTTCCAATATTCTGGAATTTAACATGCGCTCCATTCTTGAAGATAATTCAAAGCAAGAATTGTGTTTAAAATTTGACGTATTATTTCTCTCTTGCAGAGTTGCAGGATATGCTCCCTAACATTATCAATCAATTAGGTATGTGCCTCACATGTCATTTCAGTTACAAAACTTTTTTTCTGCGTACTGATTACTGAGGAGTGTTGTTTGTTCCATGAACACGTTGCAGGACCAGATAACCTGGAAAATCTGAAGAAGCTGGCAGAGCAGTTCCAAAAGCAAGCTCCTGAAGCAGCAGGTGCTGGTACAACTGCGGCGCAAGAGGAGGATGATGACGAGGTCCCAGATCTTGTTGCTGGGGAGAACTTTGAGACAGCTGCTGAGGAGAAGACCACCCAAGCATCTTAGACTAGAGCTTGACTGTGCCAATATTGCTATTGTTTCTAAGATTTTCCCCCCTCTGAAATTTAAGTATTTTCAGGTGCTTATTGTTTACTTTAAATAGTTGCAACAATACTCCTGAATCGGCTTTCCGTCCTCTTACTAATACCTTACTTATATTGAGTCATTCGTGCGCCTCATCGTTGAAGGTAGAAGCCAGTTTTGCTGCATAACGTGCAATCTGAGTTAACATTTGGGTCCAGGAAGCAATTCATTAGCCCAAGTAGGACTTACTAGTTAGATTATTTCTGAATTAACGTTAGTGGATTTTTGCCGAAAGTTTTCTGCCTTAATATGCCTCATAAATTGATTAGAAGTATCCTCAACGTTAGTCATCTCGACGGCGGTTTATAGGTGAGCCAACTGTTTTGTGCATTTGAAGCTTCTAAAGAGCAGTTCACAGCTCTAACATTAGTCAAATTTCTCTGTACTTGATGTAGCAACGGAAACGTTTTTCCAACATTCATCGTCATGGGGACTCAAGTACCCGGTTTTCGTAAATGAACTGTTATGGGCCTTCGTTCAATAGTTTAAGAGGCCCAGTAAAGATGACCCGACCGGTTATAATGTCAAGTTCAATGTGGATTAACTGGGCTTATTAGTATGGCCTCGGGCCAAGAAAAGGGGCCTAGGTCCAAGAAAAGGGGCCTAGGTACCTGTCTGGATAGGCATGCAGAGGGTTATATCTAGTATCTAGCCAATACTAAAAATTAGGAGTGTTCATGGGACGGGATAGGAATTTGTCCCGTGTCCCGTCCCATCCGGTTTGGTCCCTGTCCGTCGGGACCGGGACGTCCGGCTTTCTCTTTTTTTTTAAAAAAAAAAAAAAAGATACCATAATTTTTTATATGAATTTTTTTATGGTATAATACTATTTTTATTAGACTTTTAAAGATAAAAACATTATAAAAAAAATATTATGTAGAAAGCTTAATTATATAGCAAAAAAAGGTGTAAAAATAATACTGTAAAAAATCGTAAAAAAACACTATATAATGACTTTATGAATTATTTTATTGAGGAAGGAGATTTTGTTGAGATAATACTACAACTTAAGAGCTACAAATCACCATAAAAATAAGAGTTATTATTAATAAGTAATTGAATAATCTAATAATAATTATTAATGAATAATTTTTAAAAAAAAAAAATCCCGGGACGGACGGGACGGGACGACCCGTCCGCGTCCCGTCCCGTTTGTCCTGTCCGAAAATTTTTTTGTCCAGTCCCTTCCCGTCCCGTCCTGTGTCCGAACTCACCGGGACCGGGACGGGACAAATTGAACAACCCTACTAAAAATAAGAGTAAAATACACTAATCATTTTTTATTTTATTTTAAAAAGAACTTCTTTCTATTTTAAAAACGTGTATAAAGCTCTCTTATAATTAAAATGAATGTTACACAAACTTCCTTATATGTTTTAATATTCAATTTCATCCACCTAGATTGTTAGTTGACTATTAAGTTTGATTTTAATTATTCTTTTGATCAAAATGCTCATTTTTACTTAATAATTATTTAGACATTTATATTTTTCAAAAAATTTTCTTATAAAATCAAAAATAAGTCTAATACGTATATTTTTAAAATTTCTATGTTTATAAACTTATTAATTTTGATCTCAATCATAAAATTTTAGAATTTTAATATTTTATCACATTTCATTAGAATTATTTTTTTTTATTTCTTTTAAATTGTAAAAAACATATTTCAAATACATAGTTTTTGTTTATCGTAGAGTTTAAATAATATAAGTTTAAAAAATTTTATATATTATTTAATTGTATAATTCAAAATTTTTAAACACGTCTTTGTTACAAAAATTTATAAACATATTTAGTCAAAGTATGTATATATTTATTTAAAAAAAATTAGTTAAAGTTTTAATCAAGTCTTTTATGTTTGCTTTAAATGAATGAAATTTATATAACTACAAAAATATAATTTAGAAATTTATTAGAATGAAGGGGTAAAATAGTAAGTAAAATTATTTGAATATAAATTTCAGTTTAAAATAATGCTTTTAGATTTTTTTTTTAGAATATTCCTAATGGTGTTAACTTATTGGATTAAACTGTATATTTTTAAAATAGAAAGAATGTCTGTGTAATTGATACAAACTAGAAGGATAATCAGTGTATTTTACTCTAAAAATAAACAAATAAATGAGCTTATAAAACCTCATTGGTAAAATATAAGTAGGCAAAATCCACATGAAGATATGTCTCTTTTGGTAAAAGCTCATTCCTCCTCATCACTCATTTATTTCCTTGTAAAGAGTAGGGACATTCATATTATTGTGATTTTGTAATTTCATTTAATCTTCCATTTGATTTTTATATTCTAAATGATTATCATTCTATTCTGATGGTTTACAGTTTCCATCACAAACTTCTATAAACATAATATATTTTTTTTAAAAAAAACAAAAGGTTTCAAAACATACACATGCATATAAAGTTTCTACCAAGATTTGAGTCAAAATAAAGGCATGATTAGAAGCATTTTCAAGATAAATTAAATTAATAGTTTGTGATAAGGTGATGAGAAAGTTTTATCATGCTAAACATGAAAATAAAGGAAGTGCTTCTTCCTCAACTCAAAGTGTAAATTAACCTACCTTCAGGTAGATTAACGTTCCGGTCTCCACTTATTTCTCACTATTTTCTAACACTAGAAAGTATAGAAAATAAAATATATGCTCAATTTATATTAATTAAAAAGATAAAAAAAATTTCTTTTATTTTTTAAAAATATCTTACGTTTAAGTTTAATTTTATTTTAATTTATTTGATCAGTTTAGATATTATATTTGTTGAGTTAAAAAATAAATGAAGGAGATTCGTCATTAAAAAATTCCAACTGAAGCAAAAATCAGAAAACTTGCATGATTTGGTCGTATCTTAAGCATGATTTGAAGAATATATTTATTTAATATAATGCGTTTTACTGAAAGAATGCTTGTCATGATTAAATTGACTTCTATACAGAAGTAAACTTCTGAATCAATCTTTTTACCTTGTGTCATAATTACAAGAGACACTTGGAAGCTTCATAGAATTAATTGGAAAAATACAGGTTCTAAAATAATTTATTTTTGAAAAAAAAACCCTTATTAACATAGAGTGAGAGAAAGAATAAGCAAATAGTCCCTCTAGCCTTTCTTAAATAAGATTCTTTTAACTAAGTTACACATTAAACTTAGTTAAAAACAATAAATATGTAAAAATTAAACCACTTTTTTAAATATGTCTTTATTTAATGAGGGAATAAATAAAGAAAAAATACCAGTAATGAGATAAATAATGAAAGAGAATATAATATGAGGGAAAAATGAGGAGAGATAACAGAAAATTAATTAGGAGCAAAATTGGTAAAAATATGTGGGATCTTATAAAAATAATCAAACTAATTCAAATTTTGGGATCTCATAAAATGAATTGTGAGAGGGAGTTAGAATTAATGCAATGAGACTAA